ACCCTAGCTTTTATCCCCCCCCCCCCCCCCTTCTCTGGCTATTATTCCCCGACCCAATATTGTGCTTGTTACACTCCCTCCTTCTGAGCCACTTTGTTCCCCTGAGCCTGCTGGCTCCTCCGCCCTTCTTTTGTGCCCTTCTTCGAACGACGAGCCCCCTCACCTAGTTCTTCCCCCCACCTTCGCCCCTACAGCCAGCCTCTGGTGCCTCTTCCTCTGCGGGCAACTGTCTGGATGCTCTTTCCCGTCCCTCTGGGAACCCATCTTCTAACCCATCTTCATCAGATAACCCTTCCTCTGACCACTCCCCACCCCTTGGGGAGCTCATCCTTCGTAGATGGCATGGATGTTACGCACGGCAGATCCGGAATGTGCTCAATGTCATGGGCTTCCCCTACAATGGCCCTGAAGGCCCTTTCCATTCTTTTTTCAAAGCCGATGCTCAACCCAAGTTTAGGGTAAGTAGGAAAGGCATGCGAGAGGTTTCAAATCTCGCTTGTAGCATTAACTATGATAGAGCTCCCTCTTTCTCTCTCCCGCTTTCCCCTGTAGCGGATGTTGCTCCTTCCTCTTTTGCTTTTCTCCCTAAACACTCCCCCAAGAGCTGCCCCCTCATTATTTATTCCAAATGATTTTTGTCTCCTGGAACATTAGAGGGCTGGGTATGCCGCACAAGAAAAACGTGGTCAGGGACTGTTGCCTCAAGCACCGCCCTTCAGTTCTTGCTCTTATGAAAACCAAACTACCTTCCCCCATAGTATTTCAACTTAGAGAAGTGTGGGGTCGACGCCCTTGCCTATGGGAGTCTTTACCTGTTGTGGGGGACCCCAGGGGGCATATGGGTCATATGGGACCCTACTGCCCACTCTTTATCGTTCTGTCATATGAATGGGTTCAACTGTGAAGAGGGGGCCGTGTAGTCACCCACCTTCAATACGCAGACGACACCCTTGTCTTCTGCAATGCTTTTCCCCTTGATCTTGACAATCTATTGTTTCGAATTTGCCACGGGGTTTAGAGTTAATTTCAACAAGTCCAAGATGATGCAGACTGCAATTGCTTACCAAGTTACCAAATCTTCTGCGGATAATTGGGGTTGTGAGGCTAAGCACCCTCCCTCTAATTATCTTAGTCTTCCACTTTGCATCGGTAACCCAAAAAAACGATCCTGGTCACACATTATCGATAAGGTAGATCGAAAGCTTGCAGGTTGGAAAGCCCGCTTCCTATCCTTGACTGAGAGGCTCACCCTTATAAAAGCTATTATGGCAAACATTCATGTGTACCATATGTCAATTTTCCATATGCCTGCAGCTATGTCTTCTTGGTTAGAACAACTCTTTCGCAGGTTTTTTTGGTCTGGTGATGCTACGAACCACAAGTTCCATCTAATCTCTTAGGAAAAACTTTGCCAACCTAAGAGGTTAAGGGGTCTTGGTATTTGCAACCTGAGAATTGTGGATTGGCCAAGTACCCCTTAAAGCCCAATACACCTCAACTTTATTCGATTGCTCGATTCCAAGAGGCTTCAGTGGCTGACAAGATGACTTTAGCTGGTGCTCTTCAAACCTAGAACCCGGTGTTCAGGAGAGATCTTACCAACTCAGAAATCCCCATTTTCTCCGAGCTAGCTGCCTTCCTCCAGAATTGTTTCGTGGCATTCCATGGTCAGGACCACATTATCTGGACCCCACCTCCCTCGGGTTTATTCTCGATCTCTTCTTTCTACCATAAACTCATCCAGCCACCTACTTTCCCCCTCTCCCTACATCCCATGTAGCTCAAGCATGGTCGTCCTTTGCCGCTTCAAAAATCCAGATGTTCATGTGGCTTGCCCTTTCCCAGAGGGTCCTTACTGTTGACCACCTTCAGAGGAGAGGTATAGCCCTTCCTAATCGATGTGTTCTCAGTGTGGTGGACAAAGAGAGCAATGCCCACCTCTTTCTTCACTGCCCATTCGCCCATAAGATGTGGGGTAAAGTCCTAAGCCTTTCCAACTGTCAGTGGGTCTTGTCAGCCAATGTACCCCAGATCTTAAACTCCCTTCAACCTATCCCGTGGCCTACAGCAGGTATCTCCCTATGCAAGTCTTCGGTGGCAGCAACAATTTGGGCCTTGTGGATCAAGCCTACTACTTCCCTTCAGGCATAACCCTATTGTCATTGAGGGTGACTGAAAGAATGGCATGGTTGGGCGTCTAAAATTTCTCCCTTCCCATGGACTCTAGCTCACATTTTTTATGAAATCGATCACCTATGCAGGGATATGCATGTCTCATCAAAGCATATATGGAGGGAATCAAACCAGGAAGCCAATACCCTAGCTAAGGATGCAGCTTGCTTGGTTAACTTGCAGATTTTTTGACGGCTCATTTTTTATGGCCCCTAATGTTATGACATTGCAATCTTTAAAAGAATGGCCTTTGTTTAGTTTTTGTTGTTCATGTTACTCCCCTATGGGGGTGGTTGATCATAGGGCAACTGTGTGAGTTTGTAATTTCTTTTCTAAGTCAATACAATGTTAACATATTCAAACAAAAAAAGAAGGTGATTCCAATGGCTCATTCCATTGATACACGAGTAAACAAAAGCATAGTTGTAAACTAGGCAAATGTTATTCATTTGTTGCAACTATTCATTCTCATGTTCAAATAGCCCAAAACTTAGAAGCTCCTTCTTATTCTTGCTAACAATGACTTTAAGGATGAGTTTGATGCCTTCATGAAAACCAAATGAAGATATTAGTTGATATATGCGATTCAAGCACAATACATTTCAGAGGCCATAACTTTTCACTCATTTCAAAGGTATACCAAAGCTCTATACATGCGAAATCCATTATGCTAGTTTTGCCGACAAAATCATCATCCAAGTCTCATTCCAATTATTTGATGTTGGTTACATAAATCTTGTTTCGCTATTATGCTTTATTAAGGCCATACCTTCAGTTAGACCAAGGTTCAGGATTCATGAAAAGATGTGGCAAAGTTTTATGCTGGCTGCCTACCCAACACAACCCTCCTCCTGTATCTAGGATTGGTACTTGCATGACCAGCTTGGGACTGGACATGGTGGAGTTAAGTTTTGCCAACCAAATGCGAAAAAAAAATGCCTCCAAAAACACAAAATTGCCCTCCGAAGTTTTCAGTGACGGATTAGGGGTAGCATCATCTTTTGTTAGGGGTGGCTGGGTGCCAATACTTTTCTTTTGTTAAGGATAGTTTTGTCATTTGTTGATCAGGTCCTACTTTGTTTAGGGCTTTAGTCTAGAGATAGGTTCAATGAAAGGAGGTCGGTAGTCTTGAGATATTATCTTTGTGATTCCTGGTCCCACCAATAATCATTGAAGCTTGGATTGTAAGCTTCCCTTATCTCTTTGAATCAATACACCAGTTATATAGCCTGTTCATTTCTTCCTACATCATTAGGTTCTCTTCCTTTAGTAAAAATTGTGATTGGCAGCTTTTATGAACATAAGAAAGTTGTATAGAAATGGATGGACAAAAGGGTAAGGTAGAAGTATATGGTGAATCTGTCATGACAGGATGCCCAGTCCAATTTTAGGTCATAACAAATCTTGAGAAACAGGTAGTCACCAATTCGGAGTTTAGACTTGATTTACTTGCGCTAAAAAGTCACTTTCGCATCTTGGAACCAAATGTAGTATAATTGCAAAATAATAAAAAAAAGCAATTAAAATATTTTTTTTCTTTTTTTCCTTTTTTTTTTTTGTTTGGAAAGCAAGATGAGGGAAAAAATAATTTAAAAAGCAAACCCATTTTCCATTTCCTAGCATTTTAATGTGTGAGTGGGAAATCTGAAGATTTAGTGTACATTCTCAAGTTACACAATTTCCAATTGCTTGCTTAAATTTCTTCAGAAACAAAAATTTGATTACTCACTAGCAGCACCGACTAGTCATTGATAACATTTCTTTTATTTGTTTGGTTCACATAGTCACCAATAACATTGACACATATATATCACATAAAAAGAAGCACTTCGTCAGAACAACTTGTACGGTACACTCGAGGTTTAAGTGGAGAATAATTAGCATTTCTTATAATTATGCTAAGCAATTATATCATGATACTGATTCAGTCAACAAAGATTAGCATGCTACCTCATGTTAATATTGAGGAATCTGAATTCAAGGAGTTACACATAAATTACTCAACCAGACCCCAGTGAAAAGTCACTAATCAAGCAAAAGATTATTGAGCTCACCTGTTGCTTGAAAATGCTAAGCTTATTGCTGGCATAGCGAGGTGACAACGCACAATGCACAGATGAATGCTTAAAAAACTTTAGAGTCTGCTCATCATGAGTTTGCATTACTCCTTCCTGCGATCACGAATAACTTTAACTAAAGGCATTCCAATCATAAATAAGAGCGGTAAATTACTTGAAAAAAAAATGAATTATGCCTGAATGATGTCCCCATCAGGCTTAAAAAGTGCAAAAGTATAAATTTAAGGCACCAAATAGGCTTCGTATATATCACCAAGTCACACAAGTAAAAAATTACACGTGATTAGCATACCTAAAGTTTCCATGAAGAGAATCAAAATCCAAGAGTTACAATTATATATCATTTGTAGAATACAACATTTCAACCAATCATGCCATGCTTCACTAAGAGATATATAACACCATTCCCATCTATTTCATGGCCAATAGTTTAAGGAGGTAGAAGTAATGCAGCCTATCAATTCATGGCCAATAGTTTAAGGAGGTAGAAGTAATGCAGCCTCAAGAGGCAGCTAAAACTGATCTAATCAATCTTAATCCATTAGGTTAAAGTGAACCAATGTCTATGAATCATTTCATTTTAGGAGGAAAAAGCACAATACTAACTATGGGCGCCGATACAACAGAATGTCATCACATGGTGAACTATGAAAGTACTCCAGCAAGCCCTGTAACAATTCTCAAAAGTACAAAGAAAAAAACACAAGGTATCAGAGTCATTTCATACTGTTTTCAGGAGAAGCATATCATGTGAAGTTTTGTCATCCCAAATGAGTAAAACAACTCTAACACCTTCTTGCGACTTAAACTTCAACAAGTCACCAAGTGACAATTCTCCCCCATTAGGCAATGGTCTCGTTGGCTCTCTTACTAGCTTCACTTTGTGAAAAATTGACCATCCGATGATATATATCAAATGATGTGCTTCCAATATAGCATGGCATATATCCTCCCAACACTTATTATGTTGTAAAAGCTTCCCCCCATCTAGTTGAATTTCAGGGAGAAGCTCATCAGGTACATGGGCATCCTGATAAAGAGTAACTTTCCCACCTCTTCTTAGTGGGAAATAGGTGTTGGGGACCCCTAGATAATCAGGCCCAGCTCCAACACCATCCTTATACAAAGGATTATTCTCTACAGGCCTGAACTGCATAGAGAGATGCAACTCAGGATAAGGTTTGAAAGGATTTCCATATTGACCAAGAATTGGAAACCAGCCTGTAATGGTGTTCCCAGTTTGAATCTTCTCCGCTGATATAGAGACAACCCCAATAAGCTCAGCTCCAAGAACATCATTGTCTTTAACTTGAAACTCCACCTTTGATACAGGGTGAGCTATAGAAACGTGGAACTGTTCATCCCAAGATGGGTCCTCACAGTTAGAGATGATCCTGGTTTGGGCCACTGTGGCTCCTGCTAGGCACACTGAAACATAGGGGTCACTGGTTATGATCTTGTGCTTACTACCTTTGTGTTTTTCCCCGTGCTTACATGGTATTTTGCATGTACCAAACATGGTGAAGCATTTTCTCATTCTCTCAGATACTAGGTCCATGTTTGGCAAAGATTTCGCTTCCAAAATCGACAAGTCAAGGTCGCCATGCAAGAAAATGACCTTCTCAGACTCAGAACCATGAATGGATTCAGCCATTACGACCAGGTAGAACTATCAGCTAAACCGCAGGAGGTTTGGGGACCAGCATCCTTGTCCAAACTATAAATTAGTCTGAAAAAATATTACAAGCATATCCAAGTCCATGCCTTCATAAAAGAATGGAATAATGCTTACCCAGATAATCTCCTATCCTGAAAATCAGTACTTCGAATTGAAAATTGCAGCCTGACCCAAAAATGGTAGAAGAACAATCTCAGTCTAGATCTGAAAATCAGGTGAAACCAAGATCTCTGAATTTCAAAGAATCAAGTGCAATCATTGCACAAGAGACCCGAATACTGTATCACCAAAAGAAAAACAACCCCGAAATACTGGGTTTCCAACATACATGCTCTTAATTCATGCTTCCCAAATAGAAAAACATACCAAATAACATGAGTGCAACCCAATACCCACATTAAACAAGGTGTTCGGATCGAGAAAACCCACCCATGTAACCAACTTTAATCAAGCCATTGAAACCCCCCACTCTTCAATTCAATTCCAAGCTTCCGAACAATAAACTACCCTACAATAATCCAATGCTTGAGTTCAAACCAAAACCAGTAAAATATATAATACTCAAGTAGACAAAAGGTCTGATATGCAACATAAAACTACGCAGTACACATTCATAGTCCTGGCATTCTAATTCTCGATCATAATGCGAACTGATCACCAACAAACAAGAAGTTTGAGAACCAAACAAGTCAAATATCGATAATACATGAAGAAACCATGATCTGGCAGAGAGAGAAAAATGAGGCCTTTATGGGTGGTTTCCTCAGCACCCGAAATGGTAAAACTCCATGACCCATGACCTGTAAGGGCCAATTAAGCTCCGAAGAACTGGAGCCATTTTTACAATATCCAAACTCATGAGGAGATATGGTTGAGAGATTCGAATGGAGAGATGAGAGTTGGGGTGGCTGGGCAGGAGGCATTTGCGAGTGAGGCGTGTGCATCTCCCCGCTCTCAGAGCCTAAAATGCCGCCTAGAGGACGGAGCCTGTAACAGAACTTGAATTTTTGGGGCAAGGGTAGTTTTAGCTCGCAAGTCCAGGACCCTAAATAGGGACTGTGAAGAAGCGAATCGCCTCACGGCCCAGGTCGGGTGGACATGTGTACCAGGCGGGTCTGAATTTGGGTATGGACCTAGACAATGGACCCAAAGGTTTGGGGGGTCTGGGTTTGCTTGACTTGGCCATGGTCAGGTCTAGGCCTGAGTCGAGTTGACTTAGATGGAGGTCAACCTAACTGGACCCAACAAAGTATTGACATGGCTACTCTAATACACAATGGACCTGCCTATGTACTTGCTGGGTACACATGAGTGGGTTTGGGTCTAGACCTAGATAATAGACCAAGAAGGATTCGGTTTCCGTGTAGTGATTCGAACCCTATTATGGTCGGAGCAAGGTCTAGGTCCAACTTGGATCCCATTGAGTCAGGTCAAGATGAGGTCAACACAATTCGACCGGACAAGCAGTTATATATAGGGTTTTGCACCACTCGACGGTGTATACCCTTGAATTCATCAACATTTTTAGGCATTTAGATATCCTTATCTTATAATGCATTAACTTTTTGTCTAGAGGTATTTTAAATAATTAGTCAAAAATAAAATATAAATTCTCGATAGAAATAAAAATATTTATTAATAAATAGTGGACAATGAAGCCACATCACCTATGAGATGATTAGTTGTCTTTTAACTAGTGATAGAATGCCATTTTTTTTTTATAAAAATATATATTCTACCATTCTAGAGGAATAAAATGTTTCTATTTGAAAATTTTTGTATTACAATTCAAGAGTATTTAAGTATCCAAAAATATTAAAAACTTTAAGGCTTTACACCATCAAATAGTATAGCCTAACCAAACCCTTTAATATAGAAAAGATCACATATAAATCTTGATATAACACTATATTCAAAACTAACACCTTTAAAGGGTTTTGTTAGGCTACACCACTTAGTGGTGTGTGTATATCCTTAAAGTCGTCAACATTTTTTGATATTTAAATACCTTAAATTGTAATACAAAATTTTTCAAGTAGTGCATTTTTTGTCATTTAGAAAAGTATAATAGATATTTTTATAAGAAAGTAATGACATCTTATTAGACGTGGTTTCCATAAGGTTGCAACCTTCAACAATCCAACTAAGGTGTACCTTCAAATTTTATCATAATATATAATTTTGATGTAAAATGTTATTAGGATTATCTCAAAATCTATTTTTATATCTAATTATAAAATTTAAAAATAGTTAAAACCAAGTAGATCTATAAGAATATGAAAATCTTGAAAATAGACGGTGTAGATGATATGTTGTAAGATGCACCATTTTTGAGATTCAAAGTCTTTTTATTTTTCATAGTCATACTTGATCAATCTCGACAGTAAAAGTAACTTTTTCAATATTAAAATAATTTTTTCTAATGAAATTTTGAGGTACACCCATAGTTCTACATTCCAAGGTTGCAACTTTATGTAAATTTTTTCCATTTATCAGTAGGTAAAAGGCAATTAATGGAGGGAGAGAGGGAGAATGTGGGTGCCTAAGAAGCCTTGTCAAGAATAAGTCCTTCAGAAGCAATGCAAAATACTCTTGTTAGACAATCACACATGCTTTTATACCTTCCTCCGATCCTTAGCAAACAATACCCCTCTCTCTCTCTCTCTCTATAACCTTCCAACTGTCAGTCCTTTCTCTCTCTTCTCCCAACCCCACCATGCAACAGACATGCCACTGCCATTCAAACCGCCCCCCAAAACCACTCTTCAAAAATCACATCAAACCTCTTAGAAACCCCCAAACTCAGCTTCTTCACAAACACATTTTCACATCAAATCACATCCCAAGGCCCATCAAAGTGCCACCCATGAAAACAACTCTCATCACATATTGCTCTAAAAAACCAAACCTCTTATTAGAGAAACCTCTTGTTCATAAGCAGCCTAGAGTGACAAACAAGGTTCCTAGAGAGAGAAAGCCCTTGCATTGCAAAACCAATGGTGATCCCACTGTTGAAAGTGTCTCTCATGAAGATAAGCATTTGTTGATGTTATTGCTCGGTTTGAGTTATTGGGTTCAAGGATTTAGATGCTTGCCATGGATGGGTGTCAACTTCTACATGAAGGATAATATGAAAATTGATTCTCAAACCCTTCAATTGATGCATAACATTGGTAACCTCCCAATGGTGGCCAAACCCATCTTTGGAATTTTCTCAGATGTAGTTTATGTTGGAGACAAGCACCGTTTGCCTTATATTTCTATTGGAGGTTTGTGCCTTAACTTTTCATTCCTTCATTCTTCCCACTCATGTTTTATAATGTTATGTTGAGCGAACCGGACGGGTTACGTTGATTTTGACAGATAAAAGTCGAAAAAAAATATGTGGCAACAAACAAAAAAAATAAAATGCGAAATGAATGTCAACATTTACGTGGATCGTCACATATCTGACTACATTTACATTTACGGACAAAAACAATACACAATGTTTTATCTAATTAAAAGAGATAAAATTATAAAATAACTATAAGCCGAGAGAACCATAAACAAATTACTATATCTCTCAAAAAGCCTCTCTCTCTATACACCCCAAGGTTTCCTCGTTTAAGCTTTAAACTGACATGCTGATTTTTGGCAATTTCTAAATAAATAGCAAAAAAAAAAACATTTTAAACATCTAGAATAGTGAGTGTCTGATCTTGATAATGGTTCATAGTTGATTTATACTTTTTATAAATCATTTTGACATAGAATTTGGGGTATACTCCGTTAGCATGAGTGTGCAACTAAGAATAATACACAATATAATTCTAATAATATAAAAATGGGAAAATAATTCTCATAATTTTTATAGGTATTTTGATCATTTTACTCTATTAAAAATATTATTTTGTTAGGTGACTCCTTGCAAGGAGTGGGCATGCCCTAAATTTAATATCAATAGTATTTATAAAAATTTAAAATACAAAGTGCTAAGATTGTCGCTGAAGCTATCTCAAACGTCCATTCAAATTGTCGCTGAAGCTATCTCAAACGTCCATTCAAATTGCCCCACAGAATTTTCCCTTTAAAATTATGTTTCAAACAAAAATTTTGACTTTCCGTTTTGAAGGGGAGTGACCATTCGCAGAGGTTTCCCTTTAAAATTATGTTTCTACGAAAAATTTTGACTTTCCGTTTTGTAGGGGAGTGAACATAAAGAATTTTGTTGAGCAATTATTTAATGTATTGGATGCAATGATCCACTCCGATTTCTACCAAAAATTTTGACTTTCCGTTTTGAAGGGGAGTGACCATATAGAAATTAATGTTGAGCAATTATTTAATGTCTTACCCCTTGAAATACCCGATCGTATCCCAATGATTGGGTGAGTATTCACCAGCTCCTATTTGAAAAAGTAAAAGATTATAGAAGGTGACAATTTCACTGTAGAAATAAAATTGTCATAATTCTATATTTCATTATAATTGGATGGTGTAGATTTGACACTGTCTTCAATGCTAATTTGAAACTCCAATGATTTTTTGAACTTAACACGTAGAAGAGTGACTTGGCTTCACATTTTTAGTGCAAGTCATGGTTGGCTAGGGGTGGCAACGATAGGGTCCCTAGACCCAAAAAAATGATATGGGACTAGGAACTAGACCTGACCCACGGGGTCCAATTTTTTAACCCAGATCAAGTCTATCCCTCGAGTCCAGGTCCACTGCCACCCCTATGGTTGGCCCTCTCACTTCATGATGTATTATTAAGAAATATTAGGAGTTTAGGACCAATATTGAGAATTAACTCTTTAATCGAGTTATTTCAAAACTGATTATAAAATGAGTGGAAACTGGAAAACTCTAAGCCTTGATTTGGGCCTTATCCTCCTCACTAGTGGAATTACATTTCATAGTTTTATTATTGATTGTTGTACCAGGTGTAAATGTTTTCATTGCTTCAGTAGAGGATTTTCGTTCTTTTTGACACCCCATCTTGAACTGGGTAACATCTTTAAACAATGGTACAAATATTTAGAAAATTCTCCATTTCACTTTACTTTCATCAAAGATGCATTTGAAATTTTTGAAACTTAAAGTAAATTTCATTTCATTTGATGTAAATATTACTTTAAATGAAAATTTGATCTACTTATAAGTATAATGGCTTATAATTTGGAATTTTGGTATAGAAATGATAGGGTTCATGAAATAATTGACTTGGGCCCTTGAAGCATCCAAACCTTGGTATTTTTTGATAGAACTTTACCAAATCTGATGACTTTGATTTGGCCATTTTCACTTCCTACTAAACTTCTTATGAGATTTGTCCCACTTTCTAAAACTGGTTGGAGCCTCTTACATTGACTTTGTGTAGGCCAATGGTCATCTGATTATGGAACCACGGGTTTTGTGATTATTAGAAACACACTTTTTTTTACAAATAAATTTCTGGTTTTTTTTTTTAATTGTACACAACTTACATGCTACATAATTTGCATACCCTTCAGGGATTCTTGCCTGATAAATATCTGGAGAGTTTTTTTTTTTTTAATTAACTTCTTTGCAATTTTTTCATAAAGTTGTTCTACAGGCATTGTCATGGGGTGGCATGGCCCTTATTCCATCAAGCAGTAAGTATCTACCAGCCATGATGGCGTGCCTACTACTGAGCAACCTTGGCGCCTCGATCACAGAGGTCATAGCCGACACTATCCTCACCGAGTTCGCTAAGAAAGTGTCCCCGGGTTCAATTAACATCCACAGCTATGCATGGATGGTGCTTCTCACTGGTGGGATACTGGGCAATGTATTTGCAGGATTCATACTTAAACATCACCACCCAAAAATCACATTCCTCATATTCTCCCTCCTTCTATTCCCTCAACTCTTAATCTCTTTGGTCACAAAAGAGCACGTCCTAGATCAAACAAATTCTAAGGGAACTGAATATCCAAAGAAAATAAAGAAAGTTATTGAGAAGAATCTCACCACTGCAATTAAGGCAATTAGTAAGCTTCGCATTTTTCGGCTGATAATTTGGGTTCTAGCATCCACAGCCATGGTCCCTACCCTGTCTAGTGCCCTATTCTACTACTATACGCAGCACTTGAAAATCAAACCGTCTGTTATCGGAGCCTCCAAGGTCCTCGGAATGGTCGGTGTACTAATTGGAAGCTTCTTATATGGCCGATTCTTCAGTAATATCTCTCTTGATGTTTATTCTCGAGGGATTCAGTTTCTCTATGCAATAGTGATATTCTCAAACCTTTTGCTCATCAATAGAGCAAACCTCGCAATGGGGATCAGCGATGAGGCTTGCATGCTGTGTGTGGCTGTGGTCGCAGAGGTGGTGGGTCAAATGCGAATGCTCCCGTTCATGGCCACCGTGGCTCTGGGGTCCCCTACTGGCTATGAGGGCTCAGTACCTGCAGTCTTTGCCGCAGGGATGTGTTTGTCAAATATCATCTCTGAGCTTGTTGGTGCCTCACTATCTTCATTTTTACATATTTCTCATGGAAATTTTGAGGGGCTCCATTCTGGAATCCTTGTCCAATTTTTTGCAGCTCTGGTTCCTTTGGCCTTGGTGCCTCGCCTGCCTAGTTCTAAGCCTCAGGGCTAAAAATTAAAAGTCTAGAGCCACATTTGAAGCATTTCAAGTATATTTGGGCATCTATTTCACCTTTGTTCTTTGCTGCATAACTCCTTGGTCTTCAATTGTTGATTGCAGTACGGAGTTCAAATTTGATCAGAACAACAATGACCGTTGATTAAAGGAACGAACAATATTTGTAACGACGGACCATAACATACACATATAGACACAGTTCATTTCATTTCGCATGGTGGCTTATTTTAAAGTTGCTAATTGGCAAATAAAATCTGTGCAATGTCCCTTGAGTGAGTTGAAAAATCAAAATTTTCCATTTCTATTTTATTTTTTTCTGTGAGAAAATAGAGGAGCATTTTTGGATTCTTGTCAAGTTATCATTTTAGGATTTCGAGATATAAATAAAACTAAGCATATGCATTGGTATCTTGCATCATATGAACATTTTTAACTGTTGATTCTATACACAAAAGTGTTTGAAGTGGACTGATGTGTCCTATTGACAGCCATCCTTCATTCTGCATGATGCAAGTATCATAAAATGCTCTCTCTAAACAAAGGTTCAGAGTTCCCGTTTATTTTTTGCATGCATGTAAACAAGCCCCACGATCCTTGCATCTCAATAATGTATGGTTCAGGAGCATCATTTCTCCACTCCCTCAAAACGATCGACAAACTCTGAATGGAGGAACAGCTCTTCCAACGATCAGGCACACAAAATTTTCTCATACTATCCTTTTTAAGGTGAGAAGAAACATCCATAAGAAGAGTATCCTTAACTATTCTTTGTATGAGAACTAACATTTTGTTGGAATATAGTTATAAGGCTACTACCTTCACCTACCCAGAAGCAAAGGTTCAAGACATCCATAAGAGATGATTTGATAGGGCTGTTTGATCGGAATTCAAATTCTCCAAGTAACAGGGAAGAGAAACATAGGTAAACGAATTCTCCAATTGACAAGGAAGAGAAACAAAAATAATATTCTGAACTGCCATAACTAAAATGAGAATGTAAATGAGTAATGGGAAAGTACATCTATATGACCATAGAAATCTATGGTCACAATGTACCTGGCAATGGATGATGATGGTGAAGAATGGGAACTACCACTTGAGTCGCATAATTTTCCGTTGAGCTCCACTCTTTGCCATCACGATTCATTCAATCATTGATCCAATGATAATGACACTTTGACCGATAGTTTCTCTACTGTAATGTGGTCAAGTTCCTCCACTAAACTGAAATAAGGCCCAACATGGACAGACCTTACATGAACCAATGGTGAATGCTTCGTCCTCACCACTATTCATAGGTAAGGGCCATTTCTCTCCCCTGGTTATTAGAATATTGTTAGAAAACATTCCCCTGCCTATTCACAAAAAATATTTAGAATCATTTTGAGGTTGTTCTGCAGTGAATGGGTAAGAAGTAAGAAATTCTAAGCCACTGTGTACCTCAGAACAATCCAAATTCTTTTATGTTAAAATAATTGTATGGACTGTTTTCTTATGTCAGTGCTAATTCTTCGGTCAAATGGAGAAGTTCACTAAGATAGCATTTGTGTGTCAAATAATTTGTTTCTATTTCATCGCCGTCGGATGTCAGTTATCGACGGCTGAAGTAGCATTCTCACTTTCGGATTAGAATGAGTGACACAAATCAGCAGTCTAGCTGAGGAACTCATAACACACTATTTGGAACCCGATTGCTAACATATTGTATATATGAAGTACTAATTTAAGCGCTCTCTCTCCACCATCCAAATAAAACAAGAACCGAGAAGATGTCGTGTTATCATTGGAGGAAAATGTACATGTACTCACTCAGGGAAACCTTAGCTGGAGCAATTTTAAGATGTTTGCTCAATTGGTCAACCCAATGACCAATGAGTAGACATTCAATACAATTATTTAAATAAAATATCAATTACATGATCAAATCACCTATTAAGGCAATCGAATCATGCAATTCGTCATTGGGAAGGTGAAGCATCAAGTTTCATTTCACTTGGCACCTTTTTTAAAAATACGTTAAAAAATAGTAAAATTGCCCCTTTTAATAATTGAGAGCTCCGAATAAGTAGAGGCATTTTGGTGATTTGACCACTAAAGTGGATGAGTCAAATGATGCTAGTACCCTGATTAGCAGCACTCAACAAAGGGCTTACAATAAAAAAAAGTGAGTTCCATATTGTTAATCGTGAACAAGCAACGAGATCATCGTAATTTGATAGTTCTACATTGCTAGTTTTGAATAATCATGGGTATTATCGTCATTCAATCACATGAGCTGGGTCAAATTACCCGAATGCCTATGTTTTGGTTCCCAATCTCAAATATGACAATTAGATAAATTTAGTGCATGGGTCGTGGTGGTAGCACCCCTATACTTAATTATCATGTTGTGGTTTCCAATCTTGCTGACACTGCCCATTGAAAGCTTCAAAAAAGGGCAGCTCCTTAATCTCTATGAAAAATATGGATAGGGGTTTGTCATCCCCACTGAATTACCCCAAAAAAAAAATCATTTTAATGTCATAGGAAAAAGTTTATAGGATATCATTTTAATGTCATAGGAAAAAGTTTATAGGATATCAACCTTATATTATAGAAATAAAATGCACTTCGAAAGCCTACTGGAAAAGGTTGTTTTGACACTAGAAAATCCTCTAATTGACCATGCCAATCTCGAGATGTATGGACATTAATAAATAGATTTAAGTCTTAAAAATAATGCATTTTATAGCATATATTTCCGGTTTCAGATTTTAAAAATCTTGCTGACACCACCCATTGGCTTGTTTGATTTTTTAACTAAAAAAAGACCTTAACTTTGCAAAATTCTAATTTTGGTGGGCATTTTTTGTGCTAAAAAAACCTATACATAAAAATCAAATTTTAGTTGTGTAAACCTCATTCGGATGAATCTGTTACTGATTACTTTTCTGGTCGCATTTGAAATGATTTTTTATTTTTTTATTTTCAATGAGTTGGAATTATGAGAATTCACTTACAGTGAGTGTGCTTTTCTGGCATACATCTACCTCTATGGATTCATTCAATACCCCCAAATCCAAATTGAGTATAGTTAGAAAGAAGATAAGAAGCTTCTTCTTATAATTATAGAAAGGGAAAAGTAGTGCCTTAGTTATATATGCATATTGAATGTTGGTTTCTTCTTAATCTTAATAATTTCTCACACAGATGAGTGAAACTTTATTCTTCCCTTTAATTTGAGATTACAGCATCCCCAAAGAAAATGCATAAATTATGTATTGTTCCCTGTGTATGGGTCTCTGTCTCAAACTTTTAGGATTTTATTGTTCATTTTTGTGATTTGCAGCTTGATTTACACAATGACAGCTACTCACAATTCAGATCAAATGGAACTACATTCTCGACTCAGTAACAGGAGGTTTGTATCCCTCTATTTTTGTATGTGTGGGAAGGCAACCAGCTTGATCCACACCCTGTCAATATACAATGCTATCATTTTGGAAGTCTAATGGCTAGCTGGTTTTCCAGCTTTGTGTTCGGCTGAATGAAATGTACAACTTCTATTTTATGTAGGGACCTTGTAAATTGAGCAAATGCTCTATTTTTTAATGAAGTATTTTTTCTCTGAGATGCAAAACTCTACCCAAAAGTCCCCTTCAAGATTTGGAACCATGATAAAGAAACTGAAAAGCTTTGATCCATTTATCCTTGACAAACAATGAATAAGTAGCTATCTTTACATCAGTGTAATCCATACATTTCTATGCACAAATTACGAGATTCAAAAACCCAATTGCACTATCAAGCAAGCTATAGAGACAGACAACGAAAATATCTCATGCCAAAAGGATATCCCAAACTCATAACATAACGGACATGTCTCAAACCGATGATGTACCATAAACACAAAATTTTAGGACATACAGTCTATACTTCTTAAATACACTTAAAAAAAAGGGAAAATTACATACATATCGATTATACTTTGTGTTATTATAGATATACCAAATAGTTTACGCTATTACATGTCTGTTTGTTTTTACCTTTTATAACGGTATTTATTAAAAAGACGAATTTACCCTTTTTCGCGTGTTTAACATTTGAATTCAATGTATTTTCAATCACAATATCAGTCACATTTCATAAAGCTTGCATTGCCAACATACGAAAAAGTGACCGAAAATACATTGAATTCGAATGTTGAACCTTCGAAAAACCTTTCAATTTCGTTGTTCAACACCCGAAAAAGGGTAAAATCATCTTTTTTTTAAATTTACATTATAAAAGGTAAAAAACAGACAGACATGTAATAACGGAAACTATTCGGTACATCCATAATAACGTAAAATATAATGGATATATATGTAATTTTTCTTAAAAAAAAATCCCCTTAATTAATAGAAAAAAGACAACAAAACTTTGGGATCTATAGACTCGCTCCAGTATACTCAGAAGATCTAACTTAAAAAAGAATCCCATTTATAGCAGGCATAGATATTGTTAGGCTGCTTGAATCTCATCAAGAACCTCCCACGACTCCTCTCAAACTCAATGGCATGTGTATCCCGCATTCTTCTCAATCAATAGATGCAATAGTTTCCTGCAAAAAATGCATAGATCAGTTGTAGAACTCTTACAACCTTGCAACTTCAGCTGTTGTTTCACAGTCTCTCTCTCTCATACACATACAAATAACTCCTACCACGTTGTTTATCCAACACAGAAACAACTCCTAACATGTTCTCAATATAGCTTGACATAATATAAATTAAAATATAACACTCGGAATTCCACGATAAAACCTGCTTCCTTTATAAAACGAAGTGCAAGGGAAACAATTTCTTCAAAAATGTTCTACTGTAATCACATTAGAGGCTCCGAGATGATTTACCTTCCAAAAAAAAGCGTAACATACAGCTAGGAGTGGTGAGATTGAGGGTCCCGAAACAGATATCATAGAGAGCTTCATTGTCAAAGACCATGCACTCATCCGCATTCTCCACAAGCTGGTGCACAGAGAGAGTGGCATTGTATGGCTCGACAATAGTGTCTCAGACCTTTGGTGATGGGAACAAAGGGAAGGTAAGTACTCCTCCCTGATCTTAGAGATCAACAAGGTACCCCTTCCAAAGCCAGTTCCTCCACCCAAAGAGTGGCAAACTTGGAAACCTGTTACATGTTTGCACCACCATATCAGTATAGGATGTCCATTAACAAAATTTGCTAGAGGCATTACAAAAGTAGAGAGCTGTGAGGTACTCCTTGAGAGAAAGGAAGTACAGAGAAAAAATACAGAGAAACACAAATGGCTTATTAGAATTAGCAGTGAGTGTAAGAAAAAAACGAAATTTGAAACTTACATGTCAAGTTTAGTACGCAATAATCATGGAACACCATGAAGGGTTTGACATTTGAGTTTACGAAATACGGAGTCATAAGAAATACAGAGTCATAAAGGGCATTGAACACAAAGAATAGGTAAGTTCTCAACATGGGCAAGATTGGGAACCATAAAAATAAATTGCTTAATATATATTGGGAAGAAAACCATGAAGCGAAAATTTCAATAGAATGCGGATCAAACTAGAATAATAAAAATTAGAGATTAGAAGTTTTCGAAGGTGCTTGGAGTAGCAGAGAAAATTGGTTAAAGAAGTAAAAAAGAAGATTATCAACTACAAAAAAAAATACAAAACGGTACATGAGCTTGTTAATCCATAATAATCCCAGAAAAATAAGGTATACAAGACACATTAAATACCAAATAAAACAAACTCATTTGCATTGGTAAGCAAATTTTGACATAACAAAAAGAAATTTATGCTTAATAATGACCATTTACTACGAAAATGCAAATGTTCAATAACAAAACAATTAGATCAACCAGCAAAGTAATAGAGCATAAACATACAGCAAGAATACTAAACACAACCACTAAAAGAACGGAGGAAAAAAAAAAAAGGCCAAAAAAAAAAACCATGTATATGAGCAAAATCAACTCAAGATAAAGCCCTCAATCAGCAGAAAATGAAAATACCAAAAAAATCAACCTTGTATATGAGGTAAAACAACTCAAGAAAAAATCCTCAATCAGTAGAAAATGAAAAAAATATGTGGTTATATTGGTTGGATACCACAATCTTTTGCAATTGGATAAAAAGATCTCCTTGCATAGAACATAATATACAAAATGCTCCTGATTATTTATTACTTAAGCAACACATTCAATTCATTGCATAAGTACCTAACATGATTAGGATTCAAAGCAATAAATGCTCCATAACAAAAATCCACCTCAAGTATACTTAAAAACAATTACAAGAAGTTTATAGCCAATGCTTACCCAAATTTCAGGAATAAATCATACAAGACCCCATGTATAAGAACATGAAAAGCACAAAAAAAAGGCACTAAATCAGTAGATAATAGAATAAGATAAAATATTAGCTTGATAACCCAATCTTCTACAATACCATGAAAAAAATCTCCATAGAAAAATAAACATGTGTATGAACAAAAATAGCTCAAAAGAAGCCGTAATAAGTAGAAAATGACAAAAAAAAAAAAACATATCATATTGGTTAATACCACCAACTTCTAAAATTGGAGAAAAAAATACCTCTATACGTGACACCCCATGTATGAGCTCCTCACTCTCTATCTCAATTATCAAGTCACATTCTGTTTTCACCATAATAGTTACCCTTTCCCACATTATTCCCACAATTTTTGACATGTCTTAGATTTCATAGGCAAGATAGTAGCGAATTTGAACTGATGTTACAAATCAAACAAGTTGAGAGGTAGCAAAAAAGATGAGATAATGCTAGAAATCAAACCGGTACAGGGGCCCAACAATGTTCTTTACACAACGATTGAGCAAGTCGTTAGGTATAATGTAAACTTTATTACTCAACATTTGGAGGAAAAAAAAGTATCATTAAAATTCAACAGTTGCCTCAACCACAATATGTTCCAACACCACATAAACCTTTAAAATCTGTAAAATCTTTGAAATCAAATTATTACAATAAATCTTGAAATGGGCATTAATGATTCTCACATTGAAACCTAAATTCACAAAAAGAAAATGCTTCAAAAGGGGAAACAACAAATTAACTCAGTGACTAAAAAATTAGCAGTAGAAAAAGTGCAAGAAGGATGTAAAGTAGAGAAAGTGAGTAATAAATCCATACATCTAGAGAAAGAAAGAGAAAAGCATACAAGTAGAGAAATCTTGAACTTCTCCTCGTTGGAAAATACCCCGTGTGGTTAGAGTCCATTTATGCCATAGAATGAGAGTTACGTCTCACCGTTGAAGAGGCTATAGTTTGTTGCTTCCAATTATGAGATTTACAGAAACCATTGAAGGCACTAGGGTTTACTCTTACTCGTTGTGAGAATAAAACAGAGCAGGAGAGAGTTGGATCACTATTGGCTAGGGTTCTCTCTTGGGTATTAGCGTCGATGATTCACCATTGACGGGGGCATCTCCTTATTTACTTGCAAACCGGTGCCCCAGTTTGCTATTGACTTACAATAACAAATCTACACCGTCCAAAATAATGGACGGTGAGAAAGGCTGCAGCTTTAGTTGTTTCCATTGGGCTGCAGCTCTATCAAATCATTGCACATAAAAACCTTTTCTTCACAGTGTAATTAAAAACCTTTTTTTTAAAAAAAAAAAATATAATCACCGGTCCAAAAGGTTTCAAACTTACGACACAAAAATTTGAGATCTTGAAGCAAGATCAGGTTTTATCCGAGGGAGTAAATGGACATTGTGCTCCCCCCGTAGACGTAAGGTTTCTCTGTCTGTTGCGAAATTTCACCTCGCTGTTTTTTTTCTCGAAATTTCGGTATATATATTCGGTCTATTTCCCGCCGAAACTTATCCTAAACGGATATGGTTTCTAGTTGAGTTCACTGGGATCTTAGGTGAGTTTCCTGCCATAGATAGGGTTTTCGCTCTTGCAATCTTTTTGACACAAGAAACCCTAACCCTAGAAATGGGTTTTCAGTGTGCGTACTGTGAATTTAGGTGAACCTTTTCTACACAGGGTTTTGGCTTCTGATCGAGGCAAAAACCTTAGCCCTAACCCTAACCCTAAAAATGGGCTTCAGATGCGTTCACTGTGGATTTGAGGTGAGGGCTCTGTTCATCCAATACTCTCCAGGAAACATCCGCCTCACTAAATGTGTAAGCATCGATTCCGTGCAATTATTATCATTTTTTGAACGTTTATTTTTATTTTTATTTTTATGATTATTTTCCTTGGATTTTTCTTTGTAGTTACTCATTTAAATTTTAACTAATGTTTCTTGGCCTTTTTTTTTATTTTTTATTTTTTTATTTTTTTATTTTTGTGATTTTTTAGTTGGATTACATTGTTTTGGTGCATTTGGCTTTATCAATCCTTCAAATTCGAATTTCCGCACTTCGATTTCATTTTTTCCTATTCGTTTTGGTTAACTGTTCTTTGTTTTGCAGGGGAGATGCGGGGCAGTTGCAGATGAGTACGTTGAGTGTGAATACATGGTATACCTTTTTTATTTAAATGCGTCCTTTTTTTATGTTTCTGAAAATATTAATGTCTTTCTCATCTCACTTTCTTATTTTTCTTTCAATATTTCTAAGTTTGATTGCCACATTTGGAGAGCTTGCATGAATAATCTTTTGTTCTTCTTGGAATTTTAATGGCTGTACCCAATATTCGTGAATCTCATGTTAGTTATTTGGTTGATGCAAATCTGATGAATGTCATTAAAATAGATTAGATGCAGCTGTTGCTTTTCCTTGGAACCTACTCTTTGATGGTTAAATGAATCGCAAATGTAATTCTGCTAGGCTATAAGTGGCCTCATAGAATTTTTGATGAATATGGAGCTTTGAGTTGATTTGCCTCAATGAGAAATGCGCTTTATCGATGTAGTTTTTCTTGCCTGGGCCATGACATGTTAGCATTTATCTATCTTTTTTATTTTTCTTATATTATATGTTCTTGTGCCTTTAGGTGAATTGATATGTTTGTTTATGCAGATTCTTCTAATTGATTTGATTTTACACAAGGCTAAAGCTTATCGCCATTTGCTCTACAACTTTCCAAACAGAAATGTTGTCAACTTAGAGGTATTAAAGAGTAAAAAACTTTCTTTCTTTTTGGTTTTCTGTTTGGATTATGAAAGTTTTGCATTATGTTTACTCCACTGCATTAGAGTTTCCTCTTTGAGGATTTATTTTTGTCATTTAAAATTCTTATGGGTTGTATGGTGGTTGATAGTCACACCACAAGGTCAAGTTTGAAATCTACATTGATATCCAGTATTGCAGTCTACTGTGTGTTTGCTAAAAACTTCTGCCAAGCGAGCATGTCTTTATTAAGAAAATTAGCAGCGAAGCATATCCATGTGGTGCCCAATGATCCTCTACTTTTCTTGGGAGCACATACTGCAGAGAAAAAGATTATGTGCACCTCACTTAAGCTAAATATGAGATATACAAATCTCGATGGTGAATGAGTTAATGTGTTCATTTCTCAGGAGTTTTTTTATATCCTACCAGTAGTGGGCTTGGTATATAGCTCTTGCAATTCATGTGGTCGCATATTCATGGCCAATTTGGAGTGCATTTAACATTTGTCTATGCAAACTGCCCGTTAGGTTTCACCCCGAAGACCAAGACTGAACTGCCTTGGCCATGTGGAAGTAGTCATTTTAGCCAATGTCTATCGCACCTTCCCTATTTGTTAGAAGTAACATTTCCACGAACAGTTTGCCTTGGATTCTATTTGGACAATCATCAGGATCCACTTTATAGTGGCCATTGGAGGAGGTCTACGTGCCACTTTTGATTTTTGTTTTCTTCAAAAAAATTTATCCTCTCCCCAAAAATCCATGAAGAGTAAAGGTGTATTGCATTGACTGCACCACCCATCCTTGATTTTGGCAATGCCAGTTGTATGGGATCATTCTTCGTACTTTTTATCAGATTTTTCTACTCTAATTTCTGCAAAAAATTCTGCTGGTTCTTTTTTTTCGTTTTCTTCATATAAATGCATGCTTTTTCTTAAGCATCTATTGTTCAAATAGACTTTTGTTGGATCTTAATATTAATCTCAATTTTCGGCTTTGGCAGGGAATATTGTGGAAGTCCGCTTTCTTTTTCTTAGTTATAGATACATGTATCCTTGTTTCTGTATTTTAAATGTCTATTAAATCACTTCTATAAGATGACCAACTTCATATAGATATGATCAACCTTAACATTTCAAGGCAGGGAATTGGCTGTAAACAAAATTCAAGAAGGTTTGGGATCGTCGGCAAGTTCCTCAGCATCACCTTGTACTTGTGGAAAGGTGAGCTTAATCATGTTGGGACCGTACCAAGTATGATACATGGATGTTCAATATTTGAATATTTCTGGTCTTTTTTTTTGTTTTTTGATCATGTTAACGTTTGTGTAGAAGAAAAGGAGTACAAAAAGGTTGGTCCAGGGGACCCACAAGTCGGGCCTGGCAAAAATAGGTTACCTAAGGAGTAACCCTATATTTGAATAGTTCTTATCATGATTATGTTCCTGAGCATTTGATTTTAATTGCTTTTGCAGCTGTTGATGAATGTGTTTCTTGGGAATTTCATATTTCTAGGTGCATTGCTGCTTGGCACTAAGATATTGCAGAAGTCATCTTCTGAAATACTGAGGTACTGAATTTTTTTCCTTGAAATGATCACGCGTGATAGCTAGTATCTTTCTTTTTTGCACAGCAGGCCTTTAAAATTTTAGTTGGACAAGTTTATGGCAATCAGGGTGGCCCAAACTTGTATCATCTAGTTAACGTGGAATTTAGAATAATCTTATTTTGCAGAAGATGCACACTTTTTTTTTCCTTTTAAGGCATACACTTAGACACACTTGTATTAGTTCTAGCATCCATTAAATAAGATTATAATTTTATTTTACTTCTTGTTTGATCAAAGGGACATAACCTGAAAGAGAAAAAGAAAAAACATGGAAAAGGAAAAGTCCAGGAACAATAAAAGAATCTGTAGTTGAGACTGAACATCCAAACTCCCTTTTTCACTGGTTTGTTTGTTTCATGGTTGACTTCTATTGGCACTTGGGATTAGGGAAATATCTTTCTCATGATATTAGGCTTATTAGCTAGTCTTTTAGGGTCAATCTGTCTCGTTTTAGGTTAATCTGATGTTGTTGAGCAAGTCCTCATCCACCATCTGTAGCCTCAAGAAGTGGAATGAACCTTAAGACTCCTTCCTTAGTGTTTGAAGCATCATGAATTCCCGCATGCCTTGCAAAGGCTTAATAATCCTAACCTGAGACTGTGCCATTCACCTCAAATCTCCCATTATTCCTGTAGAAGTTGTCATCCAAAGTGAGTTGCAAGGAATTCTTAAGGCAGCTATGCTTCAAAATAGAGGTCCATATCTTTAGACCCAAGAGTTGAGCTTGTGGCTATGAATATGTAATATAAAACATGCACAATCCATGTCCTCTGCATTTACTGGAAAACTCCATGTCATGATTCCCTTCTTTCAGCAACTTCACCTGGATTTTTTATTAGACTTTCGTCTTAGAACTTTTCTAGACACTTTTTTCATATTTTCCTCTTTGGATATGACCATGTTGTCTCCCGTCCCATGAAATGCTAAGAAATTTCCTGGCATCACTGGCTTTTCTCCATCTGCCTCATATTCCCAAAGGAGAATTTATTCCACTCTAGTTTCTATTTAACCTTCTTCAGTTTTTATTCTGTACATTTAGTCTGCTAATTAATGCATAGAATCCCACAGTTTACATTTCATGGTGTTGAAGGATGCTTTGCTATGGTGACGACCTTCTATTAGCTAATACTTCCATTCATCTTCAAGCCTTGTTTCAGCGTCTGCATCTGGAGATGTTGTATTTTTTCCATCCCTAAATTAGTCATTGTGAATATGAAATTGAAACATCTGCTGCATTCCTTTGCAATTTGATGTATCAATAATATATCAGATCTTTCTTATGATGAGTATGAAATCGTCTCCTTTCTATTGTATCATATAAAAATAAGCTGAAGTCCCTTCAAATGATAGGGCTGCCAGAGAATATTAACCCACATGAGGCTGAGTTTCATGCCCGACATTCACAAATACAAAGAAAGTTACATTGGTACCCATGCAAAGGACATAACCTAGACCGATGGTCAGCAGCATGCCGTTTAAGTTCAATAGCTTCGGGTAGCAGTTCAGTGGGGAAGAAATGGATGATGACAAATAGGGTTGCCTTGGGACTAAGGGGTGAGGTGCTCCTTAGGCATGTGAACTTGTTGATCCTCTTATCTCACTATTACCCTGATGCATGTATTCCATCATTTGTCATCTGCTAAACTTTGCCAGTTTTATGTGTCACTTGCAACTCTGATGAACTTCACGGTAATGTATGAAAAGCTAATGGATGATGGAGCTTGCATTGGCAGATCGTTATAGAAATTCAACATGAACATCCTGGACAAAAGTATTGTATTTCTTGTAGTCAAATATGATTTATGTGGTGTTTTCCATCTTTATGGTTGTTTCTAATATGCATTTTTTTTTCTGTCTCTAGTATGAATATGATGGATGTCTGAATCCTTTTTTTCGCTTTTTATTGCATATTCCAGTAGTCTTTTGGATGAGTGAATCTAAAGATGGGTTAATTATGCATTATACTATGGCCTTAGATTTGGTGAATGTTCATGAAATGGTTCTCTTGGTGACATTTAATTGCTTTCTTTGGTCAGATTCAAGGAGGTTTTGTTGGCCATAATTGTTTCAAGCTACTTCAAGATTTTTCTTATTACCATGATGGTACGAAAGACTATTCTTCTTCTTGTTAGTGAAATACTTCTTTAGGATGGGAAAGCTGATTAAAACTATTTTCGTGATGAAGTTTTCATGGTCTTTGTTCTTCTTCAGTTGTTGTCTTTCGTGCAATCTCTAACAATGGGGTGAATATCTTGTACAGATTTGGGAGTTTCCGTTGTCTGTGCTTTTCATTATCGATTTGTTTGTTCTCTCGTCCAATGCTGTGGCCTTAAAAGGTCAGTGTCTAGAATTGTTTTTTGACCTTTTTCCTTTCTGTAGAAAGGTATATTTTTCCGAAGTATTTACTCCATTGTAGAGGCTACTACGGACATGAGGAACCATTGCCAAGCAAATTTATCATAAAATGCAGAGAAAATATTGCCCATATAAAAGAAAAGCAGAAAAGGTTGTGATTGGTAATGATTCAGAAAAGGTTTCAATTTGGCCAGTATATTCTCTACCATTTTTGTTTCTTAGCTCAAGGAGATATCATATAGAATCCTTAAATTTTTATTTCTGATTTACCTTTCGACATTGGTAGGGTGATTGTTAGAATCTTGAACATCACTTTTTTTGTAATGGATTGATATTTTTTCCTTTTCTGGACATAAATTATAACAAATTAATACTAATTCTTTTTATGTTATTAGCCATGTTGCACTTAAAGTTGTGTTACTTGGTTTTCATGGGACCCTTGAGTTCCTGTCTCTTGGTTTGCTCGTGTTAAACGATACAAGAAAATTGCAACTTAGATAGGGGATGGGAAGGAAAGAGGATGGATGGGGGGTGGTGGTTTTTTTTTTTTAGGTGGGTTGGGGGAAGGAGGGGATGTGGGGTATTGTAAGATTTTGATGTAAAAAGTTTGTTCCTTCTACGAGTGCACAATGATAGATTCTGTGATGCTTTTGTGTATCATATTTATTTTTGTGATACTTAAACAATTTCCATGTTTGATTTTGTAATGCTTTGCACAAGTACTGGTTTTATTTTTATCCCGTTTTCCTTTCTATTGTTAGGTCCTTCTGGTTTTTCACCTTTGCAAATCTAATGCTACAAATCAGAAATTTTGATAGGTATGCCTACTGATGAAATTTCTCGTTCCAATTGATTCAGTATTGACAAATGCAACGACAAACGGGTGCATTGGAGTGTGTTTGACTGCACATGCTGCAAAATATTTCGTTAGCCACATGAAAGTGGTGCTTGGATTGGGATTTTTGAGATGTTTGGGACTGATTTCTTGCTGAAGCATCTTATGTTACAATTGTTAGAGAGAGAGAGAGAGAGTCTAATGGTTGTCAATTTCTTGTCTTCTTGGCTGACAAAGCGAGAGCATTCCTATAACTGGTGTGGCACCGGTGATAACTTTCCTTCCTATAGGGAAAGCATTCGTGTTCGATTGGATTCGTGGAAATGGGTATTTGGGAGACAGTTTGAATGGCATTAGATAGATTTTAATCACATCGTGGACATCTTTATCCACGTGTTAAGGCCAAAACATGGATATATGTATTCCAATAAAAAAATAACACTATTATTATTATTATTAACAATAATATATTAAAATTGTGTATTATTATATTATTATAATGCTTATTAGTAATATATTCTACGGTTATTAATATGTGGCGGTCTTCAATTTCAGGATAAGCATATCTTTGGAACATGTATGTCCATGTATCCAGGAGAGTTTTTTGGTGGGGTAGTGGGGGAGAGAGGAAGGCTTGCAGGTTTGAAACTGGGGAGTCAAAACTTCAGACCTCTATGGCAAATTCCCCAATTGAAGAGAGAAACATTAAAGCATTATGACTTTCACTTCAGGAATTTTTATCTTTATAAAACTACGTGTCTTTGAGAATGTCATCCTATAGACAATCACATATTTGAAATTTGATACCTTGGGTTGTGTTGAAAAGTTCAAAAAGTTTTTTTTTTTTAATCTACTTCAATCTTAGTCATTGGTACATCTTGTGTTGTTTGGTTTTACATTCAACAATCAAGGTTTATTGCGTGGTTTTCTTTAATTTCCACCCCTATTAGGATTTCAAAATTTTAGCACAATCCAAAATAGTGCCTACAAAAGACTTCAAGGGCTCTAAATTCCTAGATAGCTAGGTGGGCACTGGCTACTGAGAAGTCTTGTGAAAATTTATAGACCACTGCCCTTAGGGTTATCAACGACGGGGTTGAACCTGTGCCAGACCCAACCTAGTAATGGTAGACCCAACTTGGACCTGATCAGCTCTAGGTTTAGTTCAAACCAATTGAATTTGGGTCTTGGTCTCTTGGGATCTGGTCCTGGCCTGTTATCCCAGACCCTGATTAGTGATCGGTCCATGTATATATTTATATAACTAGGTCAAGTCTGAATTGAGTCAAGGCAGACTTGGAACAGGACTAAGACCCCTCCCCAATGGGTCATGAGACTTGGTTGGGCTTGAATCTACTAGATTGGAGCCAAACAAGCTAGTCCACTTGGCTCAATTGGACCTCTTGAGGGGGTAAATCGATAATGGAATGAAAAAGTTGCAGTAAGAAATAGGATTGTCACCATTTATTTTTTGTATATAGAGGTTACAATTATTCTCTCATTAGATGTTAAATTGGACGGCGTGGAGTGAGTCTTAAATTTTGAGATTTTTTTTTAGAATTTTGTATCTATTCAATGATACTTTTATAGCCATACATTTTAAAATTTAAGGGATAAGAATGATTGTGACTTCTTTGTACAAAAGATTAAGAGTCTAGACAATCTCATAAAAATACCATGGCGCATGTGTGTATGTAATTTTGCACGTTTGATTCATGTGAAATAAGAGCTTTCTGTTGAACATGCTACTTTTCCATATTTGTTTCACGGGAAAGCGATGCCCAAGAAAGTCAAATGTTCACAGACTGCTGCAGAATTTGGCGGCATTTCATAAAAAGTGGCTTCACACGTTACAAAACAATTTATTTATTTACTTATTTTAATATTTCATAAAGGTATGAAGCTGATTTCTGAGAAATATATTTTAATAAGATTTCCCATGAAAATGAACCAAGGGGACTGGGGGGGGCGTGTAGGTAGTTAGGGGGACCGATGCCTCGATATGATGTCCCGCCCTCCTTTCCACCGTTAATATATCAAGAAAAAGAAAAAGGTGAACTACTAGAAACTTTCCCTAGACTAAGAAGTAATGAAACAAAATCTACAAAATCCTGCACAATTCACCATGGATTTAGAAATAATGAAAGCTAAATCTACAAAATCCTTCATAATTCACCAAAGTTGCGCATGTCTTCTTACTCTCCCGATGCTTTTTTTTTGTCCAAGGATATAGTGTAGCAAATGATGGAAAGAATGAGGGTGGCTGGGCAGCCGGGCCATAAAAATTCGGGCCTGGGCCACATATATGGCCTGAGGCTGGGCCCTTGGGCCAAGTCCAACCAACCATGCCCCAAAGGCCGCACTATCATTGTTTGAGGGCCAGGCCTGGCCAGGGTGCAACTAGTCTGGCCTAGCCGTCTCTTTCTTTAAGTTTTCTTTTAGGTTTTTTTTTTTTTTATCAAATTTCTTTGGATTTTATGCTAACCACTCAATCGATTACTTATTCAGAATGATAAAAAGGGTTGGGTTTTTTTGTTATTTATATGCCCGTATTATTTCTACATTTTCTCAATATATTCCGGATTTATATTCAAACTAAATGTCCGAATTTATGAAATCAATATAATTATAATATGAAATCCTGAATAAAATTCATAACAAAAAACTTATGAATTGAAAGAGTTAGAAATGAAAATCTTTTGGATTTATCGGAATAACTACGAATGTAAATAAACTAGGGCCTCATTGGCTTGGTTCGGGCCAGTTATCAAAGTGAAGCATAAAAAATAGTATAAAAAAAAAGGCAAAAGAAATAAAATAAGTGTTATAAAAGTGAAGCATCCAAAAAGAAAAAAAAAAGGAAAAAAAAATGACAAGCATATTACACAAAATAAATCATGGAAGTGTTATCAAAGTGAAGCATAAAAAAAGAAAATAAAAATAAAGTTCACAAGTAGAGAGCCCTCATCAGAAAGCAAGATTTTGGGCGACGCCTGAGAGATTCGAACTCTCGCGGGGAAACCCCATGTACTTAGCAGGCACACGCCTTAACCACTCGGCCAAAGCGTCGATTGGATATGCATTCATCTCTGTCTTATTTTTATATATCATTCTCTCCGCTAGATATCTCCCACCACAGTCTCTCACAGTCTACCTCTCCCTTTCTTTGCAGCCTGCGTATGGTGCCCACACAGGCAGGCTTGCTTCAGGAGCCTTTCATTTAGGTAATTTTTTTTTTTTGTGTTCTTTGCTTAATTTTGGGTAAATCTTAGGATTTGAATTTTGTATTTACTTTTCCGCATCCTAGTTGCAAATCTAGACTTTGAAACTCGTTCCTGATGAGCCACTAAACAAAAATCTTTCCTCTTTTGGGTAGGTTCAAATGAACTTAATTGGGATATTTTAAGGCTTGGTATTGGTTCCTGATGACCCACTAAACAAATTTATTGTTTATACTGTTTTCAGTGGCATTGGGCCCTTGCCATTTTCTTCTTTTTTTTTGGTGCAGTTTTTATTCCCATCAGTGCATCCTGCTGATAGAAGTTCTCAAAATTGTCTCGTAAAATCTTTTTTTGCTTGCCTTACTGTGAATGATTGAATCCATTTGTGGTAGTTGTTTACTGTTTTTGCATTTTTTGGTTCATCTAGTTATGGGATCCTATCTCTTTTGGGGTCAATTTATTTAAGTTTTTTCACTGTGTTGATAATTTTGAGGCCTGTTGTCGAAATGTTTTCATAGGTGTCATGCTATGTACCTATTTAATATGTCACAAAAAAAAAAAAAATCCGAATTCAGATTATTTGTAGGTTGAATCAAATTGGGTTGTATTTGTTCGATTATATTCATGTTTGTGAAATTGGTCTGCTATGAAAAATGGTTTTCTAGATGGCCTCAGTTTAGATTTTTGGGCTTATGAAACTTCGAAGGAAACAGGAGAAACACTTGTTGCCTGCAATGAAATCCGGGATTGGGCTTGTTTGGTTAAGGTATTTGCGGTTGCAACACTACATAACAAGTTCGAATCCTTCCGGTGAACTATGCAAAATATAAAATAAAACAAGATTGGGCTTGATTGTTTAAGGTGTTGATTGTTGCAGCACTACATCCCAAGTTCAAATCCTACCTGTGAACTATACCAAGAATAAAATAAAATAATTTTCATGGAGACAAGCCAAAGTGTTGCAACATTGACATTTACTATCTCCTACCAGACCTCTCTTAGTTGCAGTCTTCCAGCAAACACTTAACTCGTAGTCTCAGAACACAATGGGTGCTTCTGACCATGTGATTTGAAATCTTAGTCGTTTGTTAGTGTCTATCTAGTCGTGGGAGCAAAGGGCACACAGGGGGATAGGG